GGGCTGCGAGCAGCTCGCTGCGACGTGTGCCAGTGCCATCGCTGCCACCTCCTACACCTTCCCCTTGCCAAAGGCAGAGCTGGAAAGCAGCGAAAACTGCTTGTCCCAAATCCATGGGCTGAGCAGGCTCCCAAGGAAGCACGTCCTTCCTCCTCCTCCTCCTGCTGGGCTGCATGTGGTGGCTGCAGCATGCCGCTCCCAGGCACAGCCACATTTTGGGAAGAGCTCTGGCAGAAAGGCTGGGGCAGGCAGAGCCCCTGCCCCGCACACAGCACGTACAGCGGCTCTGACGTGCAGGGAAATCGCTGCTCTGTGCTGCCATACGTGCGGCATTAACCTGGTGAGGAAATACTGCCGGTCGTGAAATGCTGTCTGAAAAATGCATTTCACTGATAAACCCTAGCACCGTGGAGTAGAAACCACAGGCACAGTGTGAATGCACTGACAGGCTGGGCCTGGCCCTGTGTTTGGGCAGGAGGGGGGCGAGTGGGCACCACGGGGGTGAAGCACCCCTCTCTGCTCCAGCATCCGGGCTCTGCACCTGCCGGGGCTGGCTCTCGCCATCTGCTCCAGGACCAGGCTGTATTTTCCCTGCAGGTTACCCTGTCATTTTGTCCCTGGGTGCCCTCAGAGCCACCCCAGTGTGCCTTTCCCATAGCCACGCTTGGGTCTGGGCAGTCTGGCAGCTCCTGCCCTGGTCCCCTGCTGCAGTGAGTCTGTGTCTTTATCCTGTGCTTTGGGGAAGCCCTTGCTTCCTCGGGTCCCCCCACGTGCCGGAAGAGGGGCAAGATTTTAAAATAAGATCCTTTTGTTTCCCAGGGTGGCAACAATGGAAAGGTCCCATCGGTCCCACAGTCACCCTGTGTTTGTGATGGAAAATTCCCCGTGGTGACGGGGCGAGCCCTCCCCAGTGTCCTGCCATTAGATGGCAGCATGGACAGGCTGGTCCCGGCCACCACTGCCTGGACGGTGCCACATTTGGATGGCAGTGGATGGAGGATGCCAAAAGCCCCTGAATTTTGGGGTGCCAGAGGATCCCCACAAACCCCCAGGTCAGACCCTCTGCTCTTCTCACACTCAGCCTCTCCAGGCAGCCCTTGGGTCTTGCATTTTCTCCAGCATCTCAGCGGTACCATGTGATTCACCCCTGCATCACTGTCTGCAACTCACCACCTTGCTGCTCCCCTCTCAGGTGCACGATGACCCCGGATGCTCACAGTGGTCCCCAGTATGGATATGCTGCCATGGAGGGGAGCCCCATGGTTGCCCCATCTTTGATCATGACCCCCGGCACTGGGGAGGGATCTGATCCTGCAATCTCAGTTCTTCTCTCTGTGGCAGTGGGCAGTGCTGCCCCTCTGTGCAGTCCCAGCTCTGCCTCACCACCGTCATGGCAAGTTTTGAAAATCTCTTTCCAGAAAGTTGCCAGGAGTTTGGGCACCCACCTGAGATGGAGGGGCACTGTCACTTTCTGTTCCTTCAGGATGGACAAGGGAGGTGGTCCAGGATAAGTGTGCTGAAGAGCTATGCAGCCAGCACTCTCAGGGTTAAAAACCCACTAATTGGGCCAGGGGGAGTTGGGTAAAATAATTTCTGTGGCTTGTAGCCCCTCTGACAGCTCCGGGAGAGAGACAGGGTGATTTCTTCCATGGCTTTGGCAAGGAAAGCCGTTGAGCGCACGAGAAGTTTTCATGCCTTTTCGAAGCCATGAGCACATGGTTCTCATTCAGGCTCGCTCTCTGCTGTCTGCAGTGTGCATCATTAATAACACCCCCGGGCGCAGCGTGGAGCCGTGCTTATTTATCCATGCAGCGCTCACTGGGTGCGCAGGCAGCCAGCCGGGGCTGTGCCCGCCGTGCCGCCGCACTCCCAAAGCTCTGCCATCGGCTCCATCTGCAGCGTGTTCACAGCCAGTTTGCACCGAGCCAGAGCCACGGGCGCTGGCAGTGGCAGGGGTGCGGGGGCAGCGCCGCTGGCACGCGTGGAGCAGCACCGTCACCATCCTGCTGCCAACGTCACAGTCGTGTGCATGGGGTTCGCTGTGCACCTGCCGGAGAGGGGTGCGTGTGCCGCATGGAAGGGTGCTGGGAGGCAGCGCGGCTACCTCATGCTGCTGGCAGTGTGCACAGATGGATGGCATGGAGCACCCCTAGTGCTCCCCCAAATGAGTAGGGGTGTCGGTGTGTGCACACAGGCGTGAGCAAGTGCGTGTGCATTTTTGTGTGCCCCTGGGGGGTGCAGGAGGAGTGGGGCTCCAGGGGATGAGTGCAGGACCGCATGCCTGGATGTGTGCATACAGGTGTGAGGTATGGGCTTTGGGGGGTGCATGCAGGCAGTTGTGAGATGTGTGTGCCCACGTGAGGTGTGTGCACGCTGGTGCGAGAGGGTATTTGTGTGCATTCCCTCTGGTCTGCGAGGTTGGGGTGTGCACCTCGGGTGCACACGAGAAAGGAGGAGATGCACAGGCATTTGCACACAAGCGTGGGGTGATGCAAGTGCGTGCGGATGCAGGTGGGACATACAGGGGTGCACGTGGGTGCGTGTTCGCATGAATGTGCACAGAGGTGTGGGGGTGCCCGGGGGGGGCATGATGCAGGTGTATGCACACAGGTGTGGGACACACTCACACTCAACTGTGGGGGGGCTGCACACCCACGCCTGCAGGAGCGGGACACCCATACCCACAGATGAGGGACACCCATGCCCATACCTGCAGGTGAGGGACACCCATGCCCGCAGGTGAGGGACACCCATGCCTGCAGGTGAGGGTCACCCATGCCCATGCCTGTAGGTGAGAGACACCCACAGGTGAGGGATGCCCACACCCACAGGTGAGGGACACCCACGCCCGCAGGTGAGGGACACCCATGGCCCATACCTGCAGGTGAGGGACACCCGCAGGTGAGGGACACCCATGCCCATACCTGCAGGTGAGGGACACCCATGCCCATGCCCATGCCCACAGGTGAGGGACACCCATGCCCGCAGGTGAGGGACACCCATGGCCCATACCTGCAGGTGAGGGACACCCACAGATGAGGGACACCCATGCCCATACCTGCAGGTGAGGGACACCCATGCCCATGCCCATGCCCACAGGTGAGGGACACCCATGCCCGCAGGTGAGGGACACCCATGGCCCATACCTGCAGGTGAGGGACACCCACAGATGAGGGACACCCATGCCCATACCTGCAGGTGAGGGACACCCATGCCCATGCCCATGCCCACAGGTGAGGGACACCCATGCCCGCAGGTGAGGGACACCCATGGCCCATACCTGCAGGTGAGGGACACCCACAGATGAGGGACACCCATGCCCATACCTGCAGGTGAGGGACACCCAT